CTGGTGTGAACAAAAAGTCAGCTCAAGCTTTGTTATGATGGGCAACAAACTAGCAGTTAAAACCAGATCGTTTTCCTAGATTAGGTCACACCAACTGTGTGATCCATTAGTTCAGGCTGCTGCTAGCCAAATCAGAGCAATAAAGGCACGTAAAAAACTCACCCCACCTCTCTAAACAAAGAGATCAATGGATGCAGAGATTCTGTCACTGAGAGAAGACCCTACTCCTGGCAGCATCCCTGGATCCAGCAATGCAGCGGAAGGACCAGCAATAACTGTACTGCGTGACTCATGCACAGGGCTCCCCTTTTCCTGGGAACTTTTGGCTCTTGCTGCGTGGATTTATGTATTTAACTCTGGGTGGGTATATCACCACCTCTTAAAGGGAGAGAAGAGACTAGACTTTGACTCCAGCTGATTTTGCTTGCTCCTTCGCATGGTTATTATGAACTTTACTACACAGAAGACCTCCATTAATACTGCAGCAACTGGGTTTCCCTACTTCAAAGTATCCTACTGAATTTCCAATTCACAATACTGAGCCTTCTGGGAGAAAAAAATGTCACATGGAAGCACATGGAAAAAACAAACAGCGTTGTTCAGGTGTGCATTGGACTTGCTGTGGGAGTACCTCCAACCCAGGAATTAGCTCATTTACCATAAACTTGAATGACTCAGATACACAATAAATTAAACCTAGCAACTCAGAAAACATCACAATTAGCAATAATAATGAGTTCTAACCTACTCATGATTATTAAAACATTTATAAAAAGATACCTATTACTGTAGTATCTGGATGCATTAAATACTTAGAAATATAATTAATTACAGTGAGTAACAGGAAAGGTGAACTGCACAATTCATTTTATGCTCATGCACAACAATCTTTTCCGTCAACAAAATTAAAGCACTGTGGGGGCGGGGAAGGGGAGAGACCGTAGAATTTTACTGCATTCGAGGCCTTCTATGGGATTAGAATACAAAGAGTATACTTCACGGCAGAAGCAAGTTTTCATCTTTCATGGCTTTGGGGAAATTAAGATGTTTCAGCTTTGTTTTGAAGATATTGCTTGGGCTCACTTATGTATTATTTAGAGATTAATACAAACCACGTCCTCCTTAATGCAAATGCCAAGCTGTGTGGGAAAGCTGTACACAATCTAGGATGCAGACCCAGAATGCAGAGAGTTTAACCAGTGTTGTTGAGGAGCCTACGTGTCTCCTGGTCTTCAGCAAATGTGCGATCAGTCTACAGAAATGCATGTAGCATGCAGGACGGTGGTTTGTGCGGAACAAGTCTACCACCAAAGATCCACCAGTTTCATTTAAAGTCACCATTTCCTGCAGCCATACTGATCCTCAAAGCTCATACTTCATAGGCTAGACTGTGCCTAACACGTACGCCGTGCTGCTCTATCTTCAAAGCACCATAGAAACAAGTCAGGCTCTCCCTGTGCCAGAAAGAGATTCCTCACTGTCCCGCCCTCAAACTTTAATTTTTTTATCCTAGACCAGAAATCTAGGGAGTCTTCCCTGACCCGAAACTTTCTTATTTCTTGCAGTATTTTCCCTGGTCTACTCATGTCTTCCTCCTTCAGAAATAATGCTAGAATCCATCTTTACCTCACTCCTGCTGAAATCCTGATCCATGCCTTAAATGGTAATAGTCTAGACGGTATACCATGCCTGCTTCTGGCCTTTCTTAATTCCTACGCTAATGTCCAGAAGGCACCAGATGACTACTCTCTTGTACAGGAAGTGGGACTCTTTGCCACCTTCCCTGGCTACCAAGCCACCTCTAAATCCAATTTTTTTTTAAGTTTTCATCCTGGTTTTCATAACATACCAAGTACCTGCTCCACTGTCTCTGACCTTAGACAGTCAGTCTCCAAGCTCCCTAACTTAGACTCTCATCTCCCCCAAGCCCATCATACTAGTATCTCAGACAAATTAAGTATGGTGGCCATTTTTGGTTACCAAAACAAACTAGACTTCATACAAGTTGAACCACAAGAGAGGATATACTCCAAGATATTTAATGTTAACCACAGGTTTCAGAGTAACAGCCGTGTTAGTCTGTATTCGCAAAAAGAAAAGGAGTACTTGTGGCACCTTAGAGACTAACCAATTTATTTGAGCATACGCTTTCATGAACTACAGCTCACTTCATCAGATGCATACTGTGGAAAGTGTAGAAGATCTTTTTATATACACAGAGACCATGAAACAATACCTCCTCCCACCCCACTCTCCTGCTGGTAATAGCTTATCTAAAGTGATCACTCTCCTTACAATGTGTATGATAATCAAGTTGGGCCATTTCCAGCACAAATCCAGGTTTTCTCACCGCCCCCCACACACACACAAACTCACTCTCCTGCTGAGTTAACCACATAACTCAAAGTCCCATACAGCTCAGGTAAAGCTGGCAGTTAACGTTTTTCCAGTGTCAAGCTACCATAAAGTAAATTTTCAAAGTTCTTTTTTTTTTTTTTTTAAATAAGCACTGAAAGAACCAATCTTAGCTATTTTTAAGTTTATTCTTCCTCCTTTTATTCCACTACAGGGGAAAACAACTTCCTATGCCCTGACTCTTCTGCTGAGTTCTGTCCCCATATGTGTTGCTGAGATGGAGGAAGCTCTCTAAGGCAGCTCAGCAATTTTCAAGGATTAAACAAGAGAATTCTCAGAACTGAAGATTGCAACTGCCAGGAAAATTCAGAGCATAAATGTTGAGATGTGCTTTGAAAATAACTTTTTAAATTGATAAAATATGTAGTTAGAAAGTCAGAATTGGTATAAGACTCTAAATATCAGGGAAAAAACTAAACCCTGAAAGTCAGAAACTCTAGTAAGCACAAGGCATAGCTCCTCTCCCACGCAATGTTAGAACATTTTATTACTATATTAGACTAATACTTGACCTTTCTAGGGGTATAGGTAGGGAAAATAATGCCCAACATACATAACTGATGGCATTTACTAATTAATGTACATCTTTTTGTGATAATGGCTTCCTCAGTGACTTATCAGTTTCCAAGTGACGCTCCAACTTCTATCTATTTATTGGGGTGTTTTCAAAATAATCATAGAATATCAGGGTTGGAAGGGACCTCAGGAGGTCATCTAGTCCATCCCCCTGCTCAAAGGAGCACCAATCCCCAATATTTGCTCCAGATCCATAAATGGGCCCCTCAAGGATTGAACTCACAACCGTTGGCAGCTGTGCCCCAGGAGTCCCCATGGTAGGGGTGCTTCTATCACAGAAAGCTCCCCCTTGACCAAAGTTTTAGGCATCTACATGAAACTCGGGGTGTGGAGGGGAGTTTGCTTTACAAAATGCTCCCCTAGCCAGAGATTGGGGAGTGCCAACTGTGGGATTCTGATACAGAGTGCTCCCCTAGCTAAGGATTTAGAGGTCTGGATACTAGGGTTTCCCTGAAGAGGGGAACTCCTGTCACTGAGGTTTCCCCTTTGCCTGAAGTCTGCATGCCGAAAGCACCTCCAGGTTGGGTGATGTGACTGTAACAATTCAGTTCAATTTTATTAGACCACATATGACATTATGTCTTTTGCAAATACAAAAAAACCATACACAAACTAAAAAGGTGACATCCATGTCATACTATTAAAATATCAATCAGAACGCAATAAAAACCTCTCTTCTTCAGCACAATGCTAAAAGGGCAAAAAACTGCCACCTATTTAATTACTAACAGGGACTAAAATACTAGAAACATTACCTTTTGAGAGGGTGATAAAGATTCTTTTTCATACAGAAGAAGAGGTAAAACCCAGCATACTCTCAAAAGTCAGAAAACTCTATAATCCAGAAGATAATGAGGTAGATCAGCAGTTCCCAAACTGTAGGTTGCGACCAACGTTCCCTCTAATTTTTGACAGGCCGTGTGTGCAAAAAATTTCTTCTGTGCAAATTGTTGTGCTTCTGTGCAAATTTTTGTGTGCAGTGTTTCGCCGTGTGCGCAGGGTTTAGGATTTGTGTGCACACACGCACGCGCACTGCTTAGAGGGAACAGTGGTTGCAACTCTGTTTTAATGGGGTCACCAGGGCTGGCATTAGACTTGCTGGGGACCAGGGCTTCACCCCTGTGTCACGGGGCTCAGGTTACAAGCCCCCCGCCTGGGGCTGAAGTCCTTGGGCTTCGGCTTTGCTCCCCACACACACCCAGGGAGCTTTGGCTTTGACTCACACACACACACCTGTCCAGGGCGGCGCAGGCAGGATCAGGCTTCAGTGCCCACTCCTGGAGTCACATTAAGTAATTTTTGTTGTCGCGGTGCAATGAAGTTTGAGAACCCCAAGACAGAGCTTCCAACACTCCAGGTTTACATGGGAAAAAATGTAGATGTGAAGGATCTTTTCCATATCTGCCTTTAAGGACACCAGTTTCCCTGGTTTGAAAACTTAACTGAGTACCTGCCTTCCCTAAATGAGATTTTGACAACTCCTCCAAATTCGGTTCAAAAACAAGGGCCATTTTCAAAGCAGAAAACCAGAAGGCAAATTGGGAATCACGAATCACAGCTAGATCTTTTTGTTAGGTATATCCCAAAGGCCTCCCCTCTGTCCCAGCTCCTGGGGTCCCCACATTTATTGCGAGCGCTCTCTGGGCTCGGGCCCTGCTGCCACAGGCCGCCCCGGGAGTCAGGACCTCGGCGAGATGCCCGACGCCCTGGGAAGAGGAGGCAGGGGCAGGCGGCTGCCACACGGCGCTCCCCTGACCCGCGGTTTGGGAGCCCATGAGCTCCGTGGGGTCCTGCGCAGAGCACGTCCCTCCCCTGAAGCTTGGGGTCTGTGCTGGGTTCAGGACCTCCCTGGGCTGGGAGCCCGGGGGCGTGGGGGGGCTGCTGCCCCTTACCCAGGCTGGGGACTCGATGCTGCGACCCCCGGGGTCGGGACCCCTGTGGGCGGGGAGCCCCGGGGGAGGCGCGGCCGGGGGCCCCCGCCGCGGGCCCTTCCCGGGAGCCGCACTCACCTGGCCGCTCCGCCGGCAGGCCCGGCCCCGCGAGGAGCAGGAGGACGAGGCCGCTCCCCGCGGCCCGGGCCCAGGCCATGCCCGTCCCCATCCCCGGCTCCAGCTCGGGCGGCTGCGGGCCTGGGGCAGCGGCCGCTCTGCGTCCTCTGGAGCCTGCGCGCCGCGGCCTCCTCCGCCCGCCGCCCGCCGCCGGCCAGGGGTGGAGCTGGGGCGGGGACACCCCAGGGCCGGGGGCGGGCCGCTGGGGGCGGGAACCGGGGGGGCTGCTGCCGCCACCCCCCCGCTTGAAGTGGCTCCCCTCACACAGGGGTCGCAGTTTGGTTCAGTGGCTCTCAGCACCCCCACTGCGCACGTGGTTCCCGCCCCCCTGCCGGGGCAGCGACCGGGCCAGGCACAAGGAGCTGGGGTGGGGACACCCCAGGGGCAGGGATCCAGGGGTGGGGGAGGCACCAGGAGCTGGGGGAGGGCACATCCTGGGGGCAGGGTGGATTACACTTGGGAATTTCGGAAACAAATTCACACATAAGTGTTGCACGTTTATCTGTGTATCTGTTGAAATTCAGACCGGTGAACTCCGGATAAGAGAAAATCAAAGAAAACTACAGTAGCTCTGGAAGTGTCAGGAACTGTTATCCAAAATTAAATCGAGGCTCCTTGCTCACCTCTGCAAAACAATGCCTACAACAAATGGTTTGCTCGACACAGGTAGAAGAACGGATGAATGAGCCTTCCTATGGCTCAGACTTTGGTATTATAACAAAACAAAAATCAAGGGATATGAGAAAAGCATTGAAGATGAAGACTTTGCGGGAAATTCGTAAATATGAAACTAGGACATGTTTAATTTCTGGGTTCTGGGATTTAAATACAGGTTGTCTGATGCCCTCGAAAGGGTGGGAGTCAGAAGCTGGAAATGTCTCAGGGAAGTGACGTTATGAAGGAAATATGTATGTTAATAAAAGTGCAGTGTGCATGTTGGACATATCATTCCCCCCACCCCACAGGAAACCATAGCCGGTGATAATATGAAACTAAACCACAGGGCATAGTGACTCCTCTACACAGGCAGGTTTTACCATGCCATAAAAGGGGAGCTGTACCTTGCACTATAACCTAGATTGTTTGCTAGCTTTCCTGGACCTTATGTAAGACCCTGACTAACAGCTTAATGTTAAACATTTCTTCTTGGTTACGTTTTCTCCCAAAGTGGCTACTATAATTGATTTATTCGGGGGATATTATCTGACACCTTTGAGAGAAAACAATACCCCCAGTCTGCTTTGCTATAGTGGGTAACATCCTGGTTATTGGTCGTAGAGCAAGAGACTCCAGCCTTAAAACCTAAGTGATGGCCCAGGAGACCTGAGGGCCCATGAAAGCATTATCAGATAACTGGATCCTTCACATCCCGCAATTGTGATTTTATAAATACTTTAAAGAAAACCTAAGGAAAAAAGACATTTGTATTTCAAATCCCCATTACTGGGTAAAGTGGGGTACTCTCCTGTATGTTCTTAAAAATATTTTTTTAAATGAAATGTTAGGTCTTTGGTTTTCTTGGAAGGCCAGAAATCAATTAAATCCCTCGCAGAAGCTGTTGCTGGGAAACACCATCAAGGCATGAAGAACACCTATGACAGAAGATCAGACAGCAGCATATAGTCACGAACATTGGCCCTGATGCTGCAGTCATTAATGTGTAATTTAATTGATAAAATAACACAGGAGGGGGGGGCTAAGGCTTGCCTCTGCACATTCCTTAATCAAAGGGATCCTGGCTTTTATTAGATAAACAGTTCTCCATGAGGCAGCCTAGGGAAACTTAGGCGCAAGTATGTTTTAAAACCAGTATGACCTCTCATCATCCTCAAAAAGTGGCGATCCATCAGCTAGGTTCAGCTGAGGGATTGAAGTAGGGAGAGGTAGGGCAGGGAGGAAATTAGGGTCCTCTCTACTTTGACACCTCTTGTAAGAAAGCTGTAGAAATAGTAAGAAAAGTAAGTAAGTTCCCATGATTATAGCTAAGCATTAAAGCTATTTTATTTTCTGATGAACAGATGGTTCAATGGGAAGCATGCTTCTTCTGGAGTCATTATCTCACCATGGTAGCAGGGGTGCTGTAAGGTGGTGGTAGTATTTATTTACCAACAGTTGCAGTGAAGGATTTGCCTTCACTGGAAATCTTTCCATCACTATTGGTTGTTTGTATAAAAAATATTCTTGAGTTCAACCACAACTACTGGACTTGAAGCAAGAATTAATTCAGGGAAGTCCTATAGCTAATGTTATGTAAGGAGTCAGACTTGTCAGGGGTTCTTGCAACAAATTTTTTGGTGGCCTCAGAGTGCGGCCATCAACTCTTGCGGGTGGCCACACTGACACTTTTTCCTACAATTATTTATTTTACCTAAAGTTAATAAAATAATATGCACACATATATACATCCAAATCATTGTAATTTATTAATGTAAGGGGTTTTTTGGCGGGGTGGTGGTGGTGGCAGACAATAACAAAAATCACACACAGTTCTCTCTATTCTTTACTGGACCTAACAGAATAGAAACACAAATCAGGTGCTTTGCACGTTCTTGTCTTTATTATTATTGTTTCTTTTGCTTTATGGTAAAAGAAGTGGTCTGTATAACAATTCTGAAGTAAATTTAAAAATGCTTTGACATAATAGAAGTCCATATAATAATGAAAAACACATCTGGGTGGCTTAGGTCTGGGCAGGGGACAGACAGCTGTGGCTGGCCCGGGGCTCCTCTGGGCAGGTGGGGGGGGGGCTCAGGGCTTCGGCTGGCCCAGAGCTCCTCTGGACAAGCGGGGGGCGCAGGGGAAGCACTCCGGGTTTTGGCCAGCCTGGGGCTCCTCCAGGCAGGTGGGGGGTGGGGGTCCATGGGGCTACAGCCAGCCTGGGGCTCCTCCGGCCACAGGGGTGGTGTGCTCGGGGATTCTCTGGGCCGGGGGCTTGTGGCTCCAGGCGCAGGGGGTCTTGGGGCTCCAGCTGCTGGGAGGGGAGCATGGGCAGAAGGGGTGGAGTGGGGGGTAGCCTCCCCAAAGAGGGGCTCCACCTGCTGCCCATGCCCCCACTGCTCACCTCCTCACCCCCCGCCCGCCTCCTGTGTCCCTCCTCACTCCACCCCACTCCCCTGCCACAGACACCCCCCTGCCCGCCTTGTCTCTCCCCTGCTTGCAGCCAGACCCACCCTGCCCACCTCATCACCCTGCTGCTGGCTCGCTGCTTGCCTCCTCACCCCCTCAGCCTCCCTGCTGCTCGCCTCCTCACTCCCCCACTCACAGCCAGCCCACCTGCCCATCTCCTCACCCTGCTGCTGGCTTGCCACTCACCTCTTCAGTCCCCCGCCAGACCCCTCTGCCTGCTGCTCACCTCGCCACTCGCCTTCTCATCCCCTTCCTCACCGCCTCACCTTGCTCCTTAAGCGTTGTGTGTCCCACCTGTGTCTCCAGAGAGGCCGCACATGCAGGAACAACAGGGGCGAAGGGGACGGGATGAGGGAAACCCCTGGTGTCCGCATTTGAGAAACAGTGCACTAGTTCACATCCGATGAAGTGAGCTGTAGCTCACGAAAGCTCGTGCTCAAATAAATGGGTTAGTCTCTAGGGTGCCACAAGTACTCCTGTTCTTTCTGCGAATACAGACTAACACGGCTGCTCCTCTGAAACCTGTGCACTAGCTGATCACAATAGTCTTCTGGCCTTAACATCTATGACTCTGTGCTTGAATATCTTGGGTACCAGCCTAGAAGAGATACCAAGGACCCGCTGAAAGCCCCAAGTCACAGCAGGACTTGGGCTCTGAACACCCCAGCTGGGCCCTAGGATCAGGGTCCTGGGTGAATGCTACTGACCCAAGTCAAGCTGCTTTGCACTGTGTGTGGATGGAAGGAGCTTGGGGCTGAAACCTGGATCACTGTACAGTGTAGACACATCCTAAGGCCACAACCATTCCACTCACCCCGACACCCCGAGCTTGTGGCCTTTCCCCGCCCCCTCCTCACCCATTGGTCGCCAGGGCCGGGGGAGGAACCAATCTTGTTACCGTGTGCAGTAGTACCGCCCCTCTCCGCCAGCCAACCCAGCTTGCTTCATGCCTGTCGCTGATTGGCCGGTAATGTGCGGATCTATTGGTGGAGTGGGCTATTCGTCTCGAGATCCCGCCTCCTCAGAAACACTCAGGACTCCCATTGGCCGGGAGGAGGTAGGTTGCGCTCTCGCCGGTGTGGCCTAGCTGGCGTGGTTTCTGGCGGTGTTTCCTAGCAGCGCAGGCCGGGTGGGGGCGCCGGGGAGGCGGGCAGGGCGGGCACGATGGTGCCGGGGGTCGGGTGGCCGGTGAGTTACGTGCTGCTGTGCGGGCAAGCAGCGCTGCTGCTGGGGAACCTGCTGCTGCTGCAGGGCGTGTCCCGGAGCCACCAGCACAACGCGACCGGGGACCCCGGGGAGGCCGAGCCCGAGCAGCCCGCGGGCAGCCCGGCCCCGGCCTGTGACTACGGGGACCCGCAGGCGCCGCTTGTGCTCTGCACCTACCTGTGAGCGGGGGGGGGGCAGGGGCTGCTGGGGGAGTGATGGGGGGGCAAAGTGGGGGGCGGGAGGAGTGGTGGGGGCTGGGGGCGGAGGAGAAGGAGGAGGTTGGGGGGCAGACGAGGAGCTGGTCTGGTGCTGAGAACAGGGTTATACTGGGCAAAGAGACTCCTGCATAGTGGTCAGCAGAAGGGGGCATTCAGAAAGGGATGACAAGTGACCGACTGGGATAGATGGGGTGATAACAGGAAATGGGGCACCTACAAGAACGGGTGACAGGGCTAGGTGAAGGGGAAGATAGAGGACCTCAACGTGATGTTTTCTCTTATAAATTACCTTATTCTCCCTCTCCCCCCACTTTTAACAGTGTGAACATGATGGGTTTTGATCATTTACAGGCCAGAGGAGTTCATTGAATGTGAGGATCCAGTAGACCATGTTGGAAATATTACTGCACAGCGAGAATTGGGTTACGGATGTGTTAAGGTGGGGTGAAAAAAGATGATTTTGTAACTTCTCAGAGAATATTCACACACTGGGGTGGTCTTGGATATCCATGGACCTTTAGCCTGAATGGAACTTCTCCTTAGAAGCAGCGGTGGTTTGTAATAATTGCACACCAAAAGTGCTATGCCAGCATAAGGGAATAGAATACCTCCCCCAAGAGCTTTCTGCTGCAGCTCTGCAGCCAGTGGATTTGCGGATGTGCTTCTCCCTCACCCACAGAAGGTTATGGATTGTGGAAGTTCCCTCTCCTGGCAGAAGCAATATTCAGGACGTGAAAGGAAAAGGTTTCCAAGGCACTTGCTCCTCCTGATCATGGAACTCTTAGGGAAGACGTAAAGGTGCAGGGTCCACTTTTCTATCCCAAAAGCAGTTTTGTGAGGGTGAAAACTACTCTTTTCTTTCTCATCCCTCCACGGTAATCTGCTGTGCTTCCTATGGGAAAAGCAACAGCATTGAAGCACTTGAGGTTTTTCAGTTAGCTGATGTACAAGGTGATATATTGTGGACTACTAGCCACTAGGGCACAGTTAAATCTTTAAAAAAGGAGTACTTGTGGCACCTTAGAGACTAACCAATTTATTTGAGCATGAGCTTTTGTGAGCTACAGCTCACTTTCATAGATTCATAGATATTTAGGCCAGAAGGGACCATTATGATCATCTAGTCTGACCTCCTGCACAATGCAGGCCACAGAATTTCACCCACCACTCCTAAAAAGACCTCACACCTATATCTGTGCTATTGAAGTCCTCAAATTGTAGTTTGAAGACCTCAAGGAGCAGAGAATCCTCCAGCAAGTGACCCGTGCCCCATGCTACAGAGGAAGGCAAAAAACCTCCAGGGCCTTCCAATCTGCCCTGGAGGAAAATTCCTTCCCGACCCCAAATATGGCGATCAGCTAAACCCTGAGCATATGGGCAAGATTCATCAGCCAGATACTACAGAAAATTCTTTCCCGGGTAACTTGGATCTTACCCCATCTAAAAACCCATCACAGGCCATTGGGCCTATTTACCATGAATATTTAATTACCAAAACCATGTTATCCCATCATACCATCTCCTCCATAAACTTATCGAGTTTAATCTTAAAGCAAGATAGATCTTTTGCCCCCACTACTTCCCTCGGAAGGCTATTCCAAAACTTCACTCCTCTGATGGTTAGAAACCTTCGTCTAATTTCTAATCTAAATTTCCTAGTGGCCAGTTTATATCCATTTGTTCTTGTGTCCACATTGGTACTGAGTTTAAATAATTCCTCTCCCTCTCTGGTATTTATCCCTCTGATATATTTATAGAGAGCAATCATATCTCCCCTCAACCTTCTTTTAGTTAGGCTAAACAAGCCAAGCTCCCTGAGTCTCCTTTCATAAGGCAAGTTTTCCATTCCTCGGATCATCCCAGTAGCCCTTCTCTGTACCTGTTCCAGTTTGAATTCATCCTTCTTAAACATGGGAGACCAGAACTGCACACAGTATTCCAGGTGAGGTCTCACCAGTGCCTTATATAATGGTACTAAAACCTCCTTATCCCTACTGGAAATACCTCTCCTGATGCATCCCAAGATGACATTGCTTTTTCACAGCCATATCACATTGGCAGCTCATAGTCATCCTATGATCAACCAATACTCCAAGGTCCTTTTCCTCCTCCGTTACTTCTAGCTGATGCGTCCCTAGCTTATAACTAAAATTCTTGTTATTAATCCCTAAATGCATGACCTTACACTTCTCACTATTAAATTTCATCCTATTCCTATTACTCCAGTTTACAAGGTCATCCAGATCCTCCTGTAGGGTATCCCTGTCCTTCTCTAAATTAGCAATACCTCCTAGCTTTGTATCATCTGCAAACTTTATTAGCACATTCCCACTTTTTGTGCCCAGGTCAGTAATAAAAGATTAAATAAGATTGGTCCCAAAACTGATCCTTGAGGAACTCCACTGGTAACCTCCCTCCAACTTGACAGTTCACCTTTCGTAGGACCCTTGACTTCATCGGATGCATACCGTGGAAACTGCAGCAGACTTTATATACACACAGAGATCATGAAACAATACCTCCTCCCACCCCACTGTCCTGCTGGTAATAGCTTATCTAAAGTGATCATCAAGTTGGGCCACTTCCAGCACAAATCCAGGTTTTCTCACCCTCCACCCCCCCACATACAAACTCACTCTCCTGCTGGTAATAGCCCATCCAAAGTGACAACTCTCTACACAATGTGCATGATAATCAAGGTGGGCCATTTCCTGCACAAATCCAGGTTCTCTCACCCCCTCACCCCCCTCCAAAAAACACACACACACAAACTCACTCTCCTGCTGGTAATAGCCCATCCAAAGTGACAACTCTCTACACAATGTGCATGATAATCAAGGTGGGCCATTTCCTGCACAAATCCAGGTTCTCTCACCCCCTCACCCCCCTCCAAAAAACACACACACACAAACTCACTCTCCTGCTGGTAATAGCTCATCCAAAGTGACCACTCTCCCTACAATGTGCATGGTAATCAAGGTGGGTCATTTCCAGCACAGATCCAGGCTTTCTCACCCACCCCCCCTTTTTTTTAAATCTTTGTCCACTGACAGAGAATTCACAGCGATGTGAGTGTGTGGGGAGAAGCATAGAGTGTATGTTAATGAAACTTGCAGATCATACTAAACTCGGAGTTATAAACACCAGGGAGGACAAAAATAACGTAGTGACTGAACAAGACTGCAGGCATTTACTGAACCAACAATAAGTATTAGACACTTAGTACTGAGGGCCCTCTCCCCTTTTACTTTGTGATAAGAAAATATCCTTTTAACTGGCCTTTTTCTCCCTCCCTCAGGTAAATAATTTCTCAATTGTGTGTGTGATTTGTTTCCCCTCTGACAGTTTGGTGGCCAAGCCTATAGCGACGTAGACCACACTCCAGTGCAGTGCAAAGCACTAGATGGTATTGAGTGTGCAGATCCTCGGACTTTCCTACGAGGGAATAAACCATGTATAAAGTAAGGTTTATTTCCTTCAGAAATGTATTACATTTTGGAAGATAGGGTTGGTAGCTAAGACATCATTGTAACTTGCTGCTTCAACTATTGGCTGGGTTGTTGTAACTTTGTATGTATTTTTATCCTTCCTTTGCTTAATGGATTTTCTGCCTGCCTCAAGATACCGTGGGAACTCCTTTGTGTTTTATTAGATTGCATTGTTCATTGGCCCATAGTTTCATAAGAAGAAAAGGAGTACTTGTGGCACCTTAGAGACTAACCAATTTATTTGAGCATGAGCTTTCGTGAGCTACAGCTCACTTCATCGGATGCATACCGTGGAAACTGCAGCAGACTTTATATACACACAGAGATCATGAAACAATACCTCTTCCCACCATGCATCCGATGAAGTGAGCTGTAGCTCACGAAAGCTCATGCTCCAAATAAATTGGTTAGTCTCTAAGGTGCCACAAGTACTCCTTTTCTTTTTGCGAATACAGACTAACACGGCTGTTACTCTGAAAAGTTTCATAAGAGTTATAATATGTAAATTCCCCAAAGTCCATTAGAGGGAGCTATACTGTAAAAATTGAGGCAGTTGACACAGCAAAGGCTCAAGTTTATGAAAGGGTGTCTTTTTTCTCCTTTCTTCAAATGAAACTGTATTTGAAGTTTTAATTTATTCATTCTTCATTTATTGTAGGTACACTGGCCATTACTTTATAACCACTTTACTCTACTCCTTCTTCCTGGGTTGTTTTGGAGTGGATCGATTCTGCCTGGGCCATACAGGGACAGCAGTGGGAAAACTACTAACTCTTGGAGGACTTGGTATCTGGTGGTTTGTTGACCTTATTCTCCTTATTACTGGAGGGTTGATGCCCAGTGATGGCAGCAACTGGTGCACAACTTACTGAACAAAAAAATACTATTTGAGAATTGACAGCGGGAGAAGTTAATGTGGCATCTGTCCCTATACGACTGGTTACAATTGTTCTGCAGAGTCAGAACAGCCTGTTTTTCTGCATTTTTTTATTTTGTATAAATACATTCTGGATTTGCAAAGTGAATGCAGTTGCAGAACAATGCTATACCTAACTTCTTTGTACATCCCCCAAATTTCATTTACAAAGAAAACTACTCACTGTATATTCTTCCTATTCATGGGGCAATTTTTTCTCCAGAATAACAGATTTGACACTGCAGTTAAGTATTGTACCTTTCCTTTGGATGTTCACTTTCATACTAATATTTCAAGATAGCATGTGCTAAAGTGCTCTTTTTAGCCTCTCCACTATAAAGTGTAGCTATTCCCATTACAGTAGATTTCAGAGGTTCATTGAATTATAGAAGTACACATGATGAAATTTTCCTTAAATGACAAACATCAGTGTGCTGTGGAAGTGATCATTTACTTAACGCAGTGATGTGCATAAATGGGAGAAGCTTTGAGCAGCACAACTTTGTAACTTTTTGAACATTGGTTCCTAGGTCTTATACACTGCATTGTACAAGAATACTTTAGAGCCCTGAACCTTCTCGCCTTCGTAAAAGGCGCAGCATCTACAAGCACAGAAAGTCAAGCAAATGTCTTAAAATAAAAAGTGTGTGGAAAAACAGGTGCTGCTGCACTATCTTAGTTGCTGTAGTGGGTGTCAGTCTGTTCAACCTTCTCTGCAAAGCTCCACTCGCCATAGTTTAAGTTTCATTAGCTGTAGGGTAAAAATAGCTAAGGAGACTGTGTGTGGGTAGTTGGACTGAAATTAACTATTAAAGCTACTGGAATTAAAGGGAGGAAGTGAGGTCATTGGTATATGTGAATGAATTTGCTGTGCTTTTGACTTGTGCTAAACAAGGTGAAGGAAAGGTAGAACAACTGTAAAGTAAGTTATAGAAATCTACTGCACAAATACAAGCACTGATTTGTAAATTTTGGCTAGGGTCAGATTCACCAACCACAGTGGTAACAGGAACTTTTGGCAGTGATTTCTCAGGGAAGCTGCAGCAGGTTTTCTAGGCAAGTGTGTGTTCTGAAGACAGCTGTAGAATTCCACTCATTTTCCAGGAGTGGAGGGGAAGGGGAGGAATATACTAGGGCCAAAAAGAAAAGGAGTATTTGTGGCACCTTAGAGGCTAACCTTTTTTTGAGCATAAGCTTTCGTGAGCTACAGCTTATTTATCTGATGCTCAAATAAATGTTAGTTTCTAAGATGCCACAAGTACTCCTTTTCTTTTTGCAAATACAGACTAACATGGCTGCTACTCTGAATACTAGGGACAGTATAGCTAAGGGCCAAGTCCAGCTTTCTCTTCAGGATATTTGTAAGATAGTGCAAGTGGAAAAGAACATATCTTCCCCGCTGTAGCTCTGTTCTAAAAGGCAGTATCTCTAGCAACTTGTATGCTTAGTTAAAAACATGTATGTTAAAGGTTCACAGCAGTGTAATACACAAATATACCACAAGTGTAATTTTGAGGAGGAATGGGGAGGAGGGTACAACTGGTGGAGGAGTAATGGTAAGGCAGGGGTGGTAGGAGGAGGACCACAGCAGAAACTAAGAACACAAAAACAAGCGAGGGAGACGTGAGGTAGCATTAAAGAATGTATGTAAATGGAATCTGGGCATTTTAGTAGTACAGGAACCACTGGTCCAGTCTCTGAAAAGCATTCCCACATCTGTGATTTTACGATAGTCCACCATTATGACCTCACACAGAGTAGCTGATATTTTCAAACGTCCATTCACACCTTGGGAGTCAAACATTTTTCCCTCATGCTTTATCAAGGGAGCGTGGTCACAGTTTCCAAGAGTGACAGTAACCTGAGGCTGCCTCTGGTTTTGGTGGAGAGTGAAGGGGCCTGACTGCCAGGGAGCATGTGCCCAGCACTTTCTGAAAATCAGGCTGTTCAAGCGCTCTTTCTGAGCACCCAAAAAATTAAAGCACCTAAAAATTTCAGCTCAGTCTTAAAGCTTCAGAAACAAGGAAACAGCTAAACTCTTAGCTACGGATGCACTATACATGTGGAAAACTTATCTCCTGGAAAGTGCTATTTTTCCAAAGTCAGTTTTTTATATCCACAAAATGTTACAGAAAAGCAGATCTAGAACAAGTGATAGCTAACTTTCAGCAAAAGCTCCAAAATTCATTCAAGTCCCTTTGACTTCAGCCAGAATTTGACCAGGCCCCACGTTCTCAGTAATAGGCGATCTGCACTTAACTTCAATAGTATTTCAAGTTTAGACAATAGAGTTAGCTTTGTCCACATTCTGGACTAAAACCCAGTATTTTTTGGCTAGCTTTAAATATGGAAAAGGAGGGGGGAAAAAAAACCATACTTCAGTAGTCACTTTCAAAAATTGTTTGAAGTAAAATACACTGGAAAAAATCAGTTTGCTTTCTCTTAGAATTTAAAAAAAATCCTACTTATGTCTAAATACTGCTTTCTGGACCACCTGTGAAAGTTTTCCCTACATTATACTAGAAAAAACTGCATACAGCATAAGCTTTGTCTTAAGCCACATAGTGTAGGTCTGACTTTGTTCAATTAAACTATTTCTGATGGAAGTCAGCCTTTAATCAATTTCATCTGGAATTATATTCAAGATCACATCTTCATTTCCTCGATGAACCACAATTGAAAGAACATCATTGTTTTTAACAGCTTCACTTACATCCTCTGTCGAGGTGACTGTTTTTCCATTAATGCTGATAATCACATCACCATCTCTCATGCCAGAGCTGCAACAAAGAAACCAGAGGACTTTGAATCAGATGATAAAGCAGGGAGTAAGCTCCAGAACCTAATCACCTCCTGCCTTCATCACAATGCTGAAATCTATGTAAAAGGCCAGTGCTGTCTGTGTAAAGATACGCCTCAAAATAGGTCTTGAATACAGGTGGTGTCTACATAATTAAGGACTTTAAAATTCAACAAGGGCAACTTAAGTCAGTCCACTACTCTAGAGGTAGCCACTGTAAATTAATTCAGATAATCTAGTTATTAGAATTACACACAAACAGTATCACTATGTAACTAACGCAGTCATCAACTTCTGCATACAAGAGAAGAGGGAGAAGAAAACACCTGTAATAGAAAACTCTCCATGCAAGGAGAATCTGCTGTGTGCTGGTTCTTGCTTGTGCAGATTGCCCACACTTATCTCAGGGACTCCAAAATTCCTCCCTTCTAGAGTGTATGCAGCATTCACAGGCTTGCATAGTTCACACCCCAGCTTCTAACCATCTATATCTAAATGTCAGCGTTATTGTCTCAGAACTACAGCATATTTTCTTGAATGATCATTTATCTTTTTAGCATACACATTGGGGATGGGTTTATTAGAGTCACTGGGCTAGCCCCAAGCTGCTAGATATGATGCAATACAACCCTCAGAAAAGGCCCTACTACATAGAAACAAGGCATGCAAAGAGCTGTTGGTTGTTAACTAGGTACCTATTCAGTGTAATCAGCAGGACTCGAAACAATAGAGAGCTGCATTGTGGTATTAAGTACCACTATGCAGGGGGACAAGAAATTTTAACCAAGGTTCCAATTTTTACTAATTAAGTTAATGGAAGTTTTGACAGACGTGTACACCCAAAGAGGTACCTGCTGGAAAGGGAAGCAAGAGGGGGAGCAGTCCTTTTAGTTATAGGTGATCTGAATTGTCTACCATGGAGCATGACTCCACTGTAGGACCACCCATGCCCCAGTTCAGTGATAGACGTCAGAAAACAAAGCTGGTTCACTTGAGCTCGGCCTTCTTATGAAGAGGTAGAATGCTCAGCTCCACAGTCAGACTCATTAGCTCTGGGCATCAGCCTTTACTGGAGTCACAGGACCAGGGGGAAGCGGAGAAGGATGCATAGGAAACACTATCAAACTGGGACTGTGGATGAACTTCTTAAACAAAAACAAAAAAACCACACGCACCCCCAACAGATGGCTGGGTTTATTCTCTTGAGTTTTAGCATGGGACAGGCCTGGTGTCTAATATTCTCCCTTCCTTCACCCCCAGCACTGTTTTAATATAAACATAGTCTTAGAGAAAAGACTAAAATTGTAATGTGACATACACACAAAATGGGGAAGCTTTCTGACACATATGCTGTAAACACTCTCAGTCAAGTAAAAATGGGAAAGGAAACTACAGTACAAATCACACAGATCCCAAAAGTCAGACATCATCAATACACGTGCAAGAAGTTCAGCAATTTTTAATGTGAAATAAAACACTACAAACCTTGGAAGAGTTCCAAATTGCAGACCTTATTGTTTAGCAGGCTAAATTCTGCATTAGCTACTACTGTTGACTTAAATGGGAATACACATGGAATCTTAATCAGCCTAGAATTTTGCCCATCATATTTAAATCCTGTGGTTTCCTGTACTAACTTAATATTTCTGGGGAAGTGGGTTCAAATCTCATTTAGGTCATAGGTGATCTGAGCTTGGCAGTCTTGAACTAGTCCGCTGGTGGTAGGGTAGATGTTCACATCATAAAACCACCACACGATTTAGTCCAGTGGAACAACTGGACTCACCAAAGACTTGTACTGAAGTAAATCATGTTGCAGGCCAGAAAACTAGGATATTGATAGAGCTGTGTGCATAGGTCCATCTGCATTAACACCTGCCCACATTCAGGCTATAGCTGCTGCTAACAGAAAACCTGATCTTGCAAGCCTGCCTTATATGAGACTCCCATGGATTTCACTGGGATTTCTGGCATGTGGTGCAGACTCACCTCTCTCACTTACCTTCACAGACTATACCTGTTCTACAGTCAGAGGTATGATTGCAGCAAATATGCATACCATGCTGGCTTTCATTTAGCTAGATCAAAGCCAGCTTGAGTAACAGCAACAATGTGGCCATGGCAGTAAAGGCAGCCACAGAGGCTAGCTTCTCAATACATATCCAGGGTCCTGGGGCAGGTTGTTCTCAGGCTAGTTGGAGCTGGGCAACTACACTGCTATTGTTACTCGTATTCTAGATCAAAGCTAACACAGGTGTGCCTACACATGTTGTAATCACACCTCCCAATTGCAGTGTAGACGTGCCCAAAGAGGAAAGCAGTAGCATTCATGTGGTTTTTCTCCCCATTGTATATGGTATCAGTCTGCATGTGACTGATTCAGCACTCCCTTAGCAATTCTTCTTGAACTGAAACTTTGGAAGTCATTCTGCATTTCTGGTTTAAAGTACAACAGAATCTACTAGCCTTGACATCTAGACACTTAAGACTGGAAATAAGGCATGAATGGTGAGAGTAATTAACCATTGGAACAGTTTACAAAAGGTCATGGTAGATCTTCCATCACTGGCAACTTTTAAATCAAGTCTGTAAGTTTTTATAAATGATCTGCTCTAGGAATTATTTTGGGGAAGTTCCCTGGCCTGGGTTATACAGGAAATCAGACTAGATTATCATAATGGTCCCATCTGGCCTTAGAATCTATGAATTAATATGGTTCTACTCTTCTGGTCTCAGCAATGCCCTGAACGCTGGCAGCATTCTGTAGTCAGGGTATACATGTGTACATACAATATATAATTACAGCTCCAACGTGTTTGTTTTATGACTTACTGCTAGTGAGCACCACCCTCAGTCTGCTGGAGATTATAAGGATGAAAAAAGCTATGAAGAGTTAAACTATATAAATTCAACCCTTTTCTACTCAAGAACACGTTATACAAGTCTCAGTATTTCTAACAAAAATACAAAAACCCAATACATTTGATAAATCTGTCCTGATTTAAGGCACAATCCTCTACTCAGGCAAGTCTCCCATAGACAACAGCCAGAATTTTGCCCAAGTACAGAAAGCACAACAGGACCTTTCATCCCAAACACACCAAAATCATTTAGTCTTTCAGATTTGAAAATGCTCTAGGTATTTTTAGAACAAGGAGAGGGGGGAAGGAGAAATGGATTCTGACTTGAACTGATCTTGTACTTGTGATGGCCCCTCACAGAAAGCCATCCTGGTGTGGACTGTGTGAGTGAGCAAAATATCAGCCTCCATTCAGAGACCATAGCATTAAAGAAGGTTGTATAGATCTCTTACATGAACACTGCAACAGGAGCATTTGAGAGGCCCCTGCAATGCCCATGAAGAGGCAGACGGTGCAGCCTTCATCTTTAGGTTCTTACCTTGCAGCAGCAGTTCCTTGAATCACTTCAAAAACATAGACTCCGGAGTTCAGGTCCGGGAAATCTTTATCATAGATTTAAAGTTCACGGATGAGACTGAGAAAAGAAATCATGGTGGTAAAACTCTTCAAGTGAAATACTAATCAGCCCATTACTGCCTAATCCATTAGCTCGCAGAAGGCCGAGGAAAAACAGTGTCTTTTTTAATATTGCCAATTCAGAAATGGATCAGTATTATTCTCTCCTGGTATTGGGACAAGACGACCCAACAGATTTTAAACTGGCATAGCTATAAATGCACAAACATTCCTGTTTGTCCAGAAATGCAGACACTTAAAAAAATTCATCCTACAGCAAGGCTGTCAACATTCAGGGATGTTTTTTGAAAGCATAATTAATTGACGCAATGGCTTGCTGTCAGCGAGTCTCAATGCAAAGTCCTAAATACAAACAAACATTCACACTAACAACTGGATTCTTATGCTCGAAACAGCTTTTTTAACCCCTTTCAGACATACTATTTTTAAAGTTGTTTTAATAACAACCAGCACAGCATGGGGAGGAGGTGACCAGCCCTCTGTGGAGAAAGAAGTGGTTCGGGACTATTTAGAAATGCTGGACGAGCACAAGTCCATGGGGCTGGATGAGCTGCATCCAAGAGTGCTAAAGGAGTTGGCGGATGTGACTGCAGAGCCATTGGCCATTATCTTTGAAAATTCATGGCGATTGGGGGAAGTCCCGGACGACTGGAAAAAGGCTAATGTAGTGCCCATCTTTAAAAAAGGGAAGAAGGAGGATTCTACAGGCCAGTCAGCCTCACCTCAGTCCCTGGAAAAATCATGGAGCAGGTCCTCAAGGAATCAATTCTGAAGCACTTAGAGGAAAGGAAAGTGATCAGGAACAGTCAGCATGGATTCACCATGGGCAAGTCATGCCTGACTAATCTAATTGCCTTCTATGACGAGATAACTGGCTCTGTGGAGGAGGGGAAAGCAGTGGATATGTTGTTCCTTGACTTTAGCAAAGCTTTTGACACAGTCTCCCACAGTATTCTTGCTAGCAAGTTAAAGAAGTTTTTAAGGTCAGGCTTGATAAAGTCCTGGCTGGAATGATTTAGTTGGGGATTGGTCCTGCTTTGAGCAGGGGGTTGGACTAGATGACCTCCTGAGGTCCCTTCCAATCCTGATATTCTATGAAACTTATTATTTGGTGTCACTTTCCCCTCAGAGGTATGTTTGCAGTTTTCTAAACTGAATATCATGCTACTATTTCCTGCTGACGTTTGAAAGTTCCTTAGGACCCCGGTATCCCTCTGGATTCCCTTGTCACCTGCATAATCGCCATTATTATTAATACTGCTGCAGAACTCAGAGGCTCCAATCTAGATCATGACCTCATCTTTGGCATTGTACAGATGCCTGTGAGAACAGTGCCTGCCCCCAAAAGCTTGCCAACTAAGTGACTGAGGGTGTGGCTCATAATCAATACATATACATACACATAAAGCAATTATATCTGTTCTATTATAAATAGATGAAGTGTTGGCTTAGCCTACCTGCATAGCACTGCATAGGAGCAAATTCCACTCTGTTAGAGGAAGTTCTATAAATGCACCAGAATCTCTCCAGCTCCCAGGAAGAGAGTTATGGCTGAACTACTTATTGACTATCTGCTAGGCTGTCTTGAGCTCTCTGTCCTTATAGTGAGGCTATGTCTTTGAGCTGGGAGCGGGGGGTGGCGGGATGACACACCTGCACTAGTTTTGATTGAGCTAGCACACTAAAATAGCGTCTAGCTATGGTGGCGTGAGCAGTGGGAGGGGCTAGCCGCCCCTAGAATGTAGCTGTCCAAGTTGCTAGGCACAGACTCAGGGCTGTTAACCCATCCGGCTGCTTGTGTCACCAGAGCTACGTTCTATTTTTATGATGTTGGCTCAATCAAAGCTGGTGCAGGTACGTCTCCTCGAGCTGGGAACACCCCCCCACCTCAAACAATAGGCAGTGTGAGAGACTGCATGAAAGCTGGTGACAAATGCAGAAAATAAAGCTTACTTAAAAGTCAGGGGAAGCATTCGGAATCCCATGTATTTCTTCTTGGGTCGAATCGTCCCTAGAAGGGCAGAGTCAACATTCATGAAATCAAGTAAGACACAGCACAACCGTACCTCCAGAAACATCAGGCATTTGCTTGGAATGTCCAAGGGGAAAAGGGGGTTTTAGGAGCTCACAAAACAGCTCCAATTCTAAAATTCTGTGGGGTGATTGTTATCCTTCTAAAAGTTACTCACAATGTTGAATAGAAAAGCCACATTTATGGTATAGTTTAAGTTTGCTCAAATGTTTACATCAGAAAATGGAACTATGGGCCCACTGACGCCACGAGAACGGGGAACAGCTATGTTCTTCCACGGACTTCAATGGGCTTTGGATCAGAGCCTTCAACAGCAAACCTCACCCTGACAGGGGCCTCGGGAACAGGGCTGTGACTGGACACACACATATGTGTAGGTCACAGGAGATGCACAGTAGTAGAGGCTGCTTATAGGGACAGAGAGCGGGATTCTGACATCTCTTTACAAGTCTCTGTGAAGGCTGTCACTGTCCATCTGTGGATGGACTGATGGAAGGAGGTTTCTGGCATTTCCAGCTGTGACTCACTCATACACTCACACAGTGAGAAATTTTATTCATGTAGATGAGTCAATGAGCTAATAAAAAAATATAAATCCTAGAACCAGCAAGTGAGGATGCTCTTTGCATGTTACATGAGATGGAAACTCCTCAAGAATGGGACAGAGACACAGAGCATAAGTGGAGGGGGTGGCTTGGTCGGGTGACTCTAAACTAACATGCTTGTGAGGAACCTGCAGAATACAGCATGCAAAAGGCGCCTAATTCTACTAGAATGAGGGCCTGGTTAAACACCAGCCACTAAGAGAGCATCATATCTCACTGCAGCACAGAGAGTACCCAACAGGCAGTAGGGGGTTGCAATTTTACCTTTATTCCCATTTCCCACAGATGTCCCGCACGGCGATCTCTCCAGAAAGAGTCCTCACTTAGCCCCCTCTCCTTCATTCCCCTAATGCAGCTGCCTCCTCATTACCATTCCCAATGCTGAATACAGACTGTGAAGAGAGGGGTTCCCTCCCTGCCTCCACCTGTAGGGCACAGCGTGATGTCTAAGCAGCCTGGGAGCACTGTATAGAAGGGAGGTATCCAAACACCCCTCAGTACGTTGTGTCAATTACCAAGCTGAGCTGGGAGCTCAGCTCCACGGTGGCAGCACAGCATGCTATCCCGTCACTCCACCCCAGACTCTGATCGTAAGTTAGCAGGTTTGTGAACAGTGACCCGAGTGCTTTTATTCCAAGGTCTCCATTCCCAAGGAGATTAGACAGCATCACAAAAGGTCTCATCATCTGCTGAACACAACACTCTTACCTTTCATCTGCCAGTCGTGAGATTCTTCCAGGAACTGACGGACTCGGTCAGAGGGGATTGCAAAGGAAATGCAAGCCGTTACCTTCAGTGTATTTATCCCTACAACTTCACCATCCTGTTACAGAGAACGTAGCAAGAGTAACCAGGCCTGGCTTATACAACACCTCTTACTGGGACACTTTTGGTGCAAGGTTTGCAAGAGCCAACAATGCACCATGCTACTGGGGTGGCAAACACTTTCACAGCAAAATTGACTCAGTGCTGGCCAGAATGGCATTGGAAAATTAGTTGATCATATGACCATAGGGACATATAAAGGGACCAGAGTAAAGCTATCTACACTGCTGAGTTTGTTAACACTACTGACAGTGACACAAGTGCAAGGGAAGAGTAACTAACCCCATTTCCCCCACCATTTAATTCCAATTAGTGAATACAAATGTACAATTATAAAGACTCCAACCTGAAAATAAAGTGAGGAGAGACTCAGATCCAAGGACCCTGGAACACCTAAACACTGGGCTTTCGGAGGTCTGAATACAGATCGTTAGGGTAAGTGGAAACCATGGTATTAGCAAGTTCAGAATGGTATAACCAGAGTCCAGACCCCCAGCAAAGTGTTTGATGCAGCCTAGCTGGAATCTAACGCTAGCAAACCATGTGGCTGCAGTAAGAACGCAGTGCAGTGCTAATCCTTTCCATGACTTCGCCCTGCCGTTTACAGGGGAGCCATTCTTTCTGCCTTATTAGCACCCAGGATCTCATCCTGCAGAGTGACAGACAAGTTCTACTCAGTTAATGGGAGTTGTGGGTGCTCAGCATCTGGCAGGACTGAACGCATATGGAGTAGCCACAACAGCATCCTGCCATTGCTTGTACACACCAAGAAAGGTGACGGTATTTGAAGCGGAAAGTTTGCAGGTTGTGTTAGTTACAAAGGCTGCCATGGTTCAGAGGGTGCAGTCTGTCAGCTGTGTATTAAGCACATTCAGGGCCAGATTTTCTAAACAGCTCAGCACATGGCCGCAGTTGTCACAATCAACCTCAGCCTGGACCAGTCCACACAAGAGATCCACTTCCTGGACACTACGGTACTAATAAACTATGGTCATATAAACAGCACCCTATACGGGAAACCTACTGACCACTATTCCTACGTACATGCCTCCAGCTTTCATCCAGACCACACCACACAATCCATCGTCTACAGCCAAGCTCTATGATACAACCACATTTGCTCCAACCCCTCAGACAGAGACAAACACCTACAAGATCTCTATCAAGCACTCTTACAACTACAGTACCCACCTGCTGAAGTGAAGAAACAGATTGACAGAGCCAGAAGAGTACCCAGAAGTCACCTACTACAGGACAGACCCAACAAAGAAAATAACAGAACACCACTAGCCATCACCTTCAGCCCCCAACTAAAACCCCTCCAACGCATCATCAAGGATCTATCCTGAAGGATGACCCATCACTCTCACAAATCTTGGGAGACAGGCCAGTCCTTGCCTACAGACAGCCCCCCAACCTGAAGCAAATACTCACCAGCAACCACACAACAGAAGCACTAACCCAGGCACCTATCCTTGCAACAAAGCCCGTTGCCAACTGTGTCCACATATCTATTCAGGGGACACCATCACAGGGCCTAATCACATCAGCCACACTATCAGAGGCTCGTTCACCTGCACATCCACCAATGTGATATATGCATCATGTGCCAGCAATGCCCCTCCGCCATGTACATTGGCCAAACTGGACCATCTCTACGTAAAAGAATAAATGGACACAAATCGGACGTCAAGAATTATAACATTCAAAAACCAGTCGGAGAACACTTCAATCTCTCTGGTCACTCCATTACAGACCTAAAAGTCACAATATTACAACAAAAAGACTTCAAAAACAGACTCCAACGAGAGACTGCTGAATTGGAATTAATTTGCAAACTGGATACAATTAACTTAGGCTTGAATAGAGACTGGGAGTGGATGAGTCATTACACAAAGTAAAACTACTGCCCCATGTTTATTTCGCCCCCCCCCCCCTCCCACTGTTCCTCAGACGTTCTTGTCAGCTGCTGGAAATGGCCCACCTTGATTATCTCTACAAAAGGTTTTCTCCCCCTTCTCCCCCCGGCTCTTCTGCTGGTATTAGCTCATCTTAAATGATCACTCTCCTTACAGTGTGTATGGTAACCCCCATTTTTTCATGTTCTGTGTGTATATAAATCTCCTCACTGTATTTTCCACTGAATGCATCCGTTGAAGTGAGCTGTAGCTCACGAAAGCTTATGCTCAAATAAATTGGTTAGTCTCTAAGGTGCCACAAGTCCTCCTTTTCTTTTTGCGAATACAGACTAACACAGCTGCTACTCTGAAAGTTGTCACAATGGTCACTTCTGGGGGCTGAGCTCTTTAGTGTCCACTCTGTAGTGGGGATAGTGACAATGGAACAAATGAGGCACAGTGGTCAGATTCTGCTTTCTCACACTCTTCTGCCCATCGGTTCCCACAGGTGCTCCTTGAGTTTAGATGCAGAGAGTCTCCCCGGGATAGAATAATGTTTGTGATGGGTAGCTACATTTTCAAAAGCATTCCCAGATTAAGACAAGGGCTTTCTCAATATTTCAAATAGCAATAGCTCAGTTCAGTTCACTTAACTCCAGGGTGAAATAGACTCATCATGTGTGTTAGACTGTAAACCACAACACTAAATAAATGTAGAATCAAAGGGGAATTTAAATTAGAATGGGGGGGGGGAGGTGGAAACCTGATTCTCTTCTTGCTTGCCATGTAATCCCACTAGATTAAATGGAGCTATCCCTGATTTATGACACTGTAGGTAGGGCTGGTGGAAAGTTTTCTGTTGAAACTGTTCTTCAAAACAGAAAATTGGATTTTCAATGAAACAAAGATTTTTCACAGAAGAGTCTATTTTCTGTGGAAAAAAAAATCTTTTCACAAAGATTTTAGTCAAAATCTTTTGGTTTCCAGTTTATCAGTTACAATTCAGAAAGTTCTTTGGAACTTTTTGATGTAAATGAATAGGGGTTTTTTGGTCCAAACTTTTTGTAAAAAAAAAGTGAGACCAGGTTTAACTGTAAGTGAAAAGAGAATTCAGCCTTTATGGGGTTAACGACTTTGGGCTTTACTTCACATAATAATGCCATCATTTAAGTTACTTTATTCTACTAGCAGCTACAGTAAATAAAATAAAAGCCCACATAGGACGCTTGGCAATAAATAGGAAATTGAAAGGAACTTTAGAAATAGGCAAAGATTGGCAGCGAGGAGGAAAACTTACCAAGTTCACCAAGGGCCCACCTGAATTTCCATACTGCAAGAGAACACAATTGGAGAGGACATTAGTCACATTAAGGCCACCACTCCCTGACAAAATTTGCTGGAGTCTGAGGAAGGCACTTTTGTATTGAAATAACCCCGATACCCATAATTTGCTGGGGGATTATTAGGGAGAGTTCTAGACATCAGTGAGAAAATACCCCAGTGTGTAAGGGCGCAGAATAGTTTAGGAACTACAAGGCATACGAACATGAGCCTTCCCTTCTTGCAAGAAACTCCTCCCCCTTGGCAGCTGCACATAGGAACAGTCAGGCCAAAGGCCCTTCTGGGCATCCTTGCCAGGAAGCATAACCCCTTATCCACAGGTAAATGAGTCCTGAAGGCACCAGACCCTTTAGCAAGGTCATTGTGCAGGTCGAGTCTCTTTACTGATGAGAAGATCTCACAGAACTGACAGGCGATGGGAGGGCCTTGGTCAAATTTGCTGCACAAAGATGGTTGCATCTGACTCCCGTTCATGTCAGTCACTCATGCGCCGTCCCCCAGTGAGAAGCACAGACGATAGCTCCAAGACACATTTAGGGGGTAATGGAGTCTGTGTGGATTGCAGCAGTTGCGTGGCCTGGACTCCACTTAATGGCAGTGAGGGAAGCGAAAGCCACGCTCAACACTTCCCTAATGCTCCTTTCCCCCATAAGCCACTGTTGTGGTTAGCACAGAGGTGGGCAAACTACGGCCCGCAAGACCCTCCTGCCCGGCTCCTGACCCTGGGGGCTGGCCCCCAGCCCCTCCCCTTCTGTTCCCCCCTCCCCTGCAGCCAGCGCAAGGCTCTGGGCGGCAGGGCTGCGAGCTCTTGCTGGGCCGCGCAGCTGCAGAGCTGCAGCCTGACCTGGTGCTCTGGGCAGCCCAGTGGGTGGCTGGCTCCAGCCGAGCGCGCGGCTGCCTGACCTGGTGCTCTGGGCAGCCCGGTGGGTGGCTGGCTCCAGCCGAGCGCGCGGCTGCCTAACCTGGTGCTCTGGGCAGCCCGGTGGGTGGCTGGCTCCAGCCGAGCGCGCGGCTGCCTGACCTGGTGCTCTGGGCAGCCCGGTGGGTGGCTGGCTCCAGCCGAGCGCGCGGCTGCCTGACCTGGTGCTCTGGGCAGCCCGGTGGGTGGCTGGCTCCAGCCGAGCGCGCGGCTGCCTGACCTGGTGCTCTGGGCAGCCCGGTGGGTGGCTGGCTCCAGCCGAGCGCGCGGCTGCCTGACCTGGTGCTCTGGGCAGCCCGGTGGGTGGCTGGCTCCAGCCGAGCGCGCGGCTGCCTGACCTGGTGCTCTGGGCAGCCCGGTGGGTGGCTGGCTCCAGCCGAGCGCGCGGCTGCCTGACCTGGTGCTCTGGGCAGCCCGGTGGGTGGCTGGCTCCAGCCGAGCGCGCGGCTGCCTGACCTGGTGCTCTGGGCAGCCCGGTGGGTGGCTGGCTCCAGCCGAGCGCGCGGCTGCCTGACCTGGTGCTCTGGGCAGCCCGGTGGGTGGCTGGCTCCAGCCGAGCGCGCGGCTGCCTGACCTGGTGCTCTGGGCAGCCCGGTGGGTGGCTGGCTCCAGCCGGCGCGCGGCTGCCTGTCCTGGTGCTCTGGGCAGCCCGGTGGGTGGCTGGCTCCAGCCGAGCGCGCGGCTGCCTGTCCTGGTGCTCTGGGCAGCCCGGTGGGTGGCTGGCTCCAGCCGAGCGCGCGGCTGCCTGACCTGGTGCTCTGGGCAGCCCGGTGGGTGGCTGGCTCCAGCCGAGCGCGCGGCTGCCTGTCCTGGTGCTCTGGGCAGCCCGGTGTTTGGCTGGCTCCAGCCGGCGCGCGGCTGCCTGACCTGGTGCTCTGGGCAGCCCGGTGGGTGGCTGGCTCCAGCCGAGGCGCAGCTGCCTGACCTGGTGCTCTGGGCAGCCCGGTGGGTGGCTGGCTCCAGCCGAGCGCGCGGCTGCCTGACCTGGTGCTCTGGGCAGCCCGGTGGGTGGCTGGCTCCAGCCGAGCGCGCGGCTGCCTGACCTGGTGCTCTGGGCAGCCCGGTGGGTGGCTGGCTCCAGCCGAGCGCGCGGCTGCCTGTCCTGGTGCTCTGGGCAGCCCGGTGGGTGGCTGGCTCCAGCCGAGCGCGCGGCTGCCTGACCTGGTGCTCTGGGCAGCCCGGTGGGTGGCTGGCTCCAGCCGAGCGTGCGGCTGCCTGTCCTGGTGCTCTGGACAGCACAGCTGTAGCGATGCCAGCCACTAGTGCTCCAGGCAGCAGGGGGCGTTAGATAGAGGGCAGGGGAATTTGGGGTGGTGGGCAGGGGTGTGGATAGGGGTTGGGGTGGTCAGACAGCAGGGAACAGGCGGGGTTGAACTGGGGCAGAGGTCCTGGGGGGGGGGCAGTCAGGAATGAGAGGAGGGGTTAGATGGGGCCGTCAGGAGCAGGGGTTCCAGGGGCAGTCAGGGGACAGGGAGGGGTGGAGGGGCCAAGCCACACCTGGCTGTTTGGGGCAGCACAGCCTCCCCTAACCGGCCCTCCATACAATTTTGGAAACCCGATGTGGCCCTCAGGCCAGAAAGTTTGCCCGCCCCTGGGTTAGCACATGGATGTGAGGTGAATGCAAACAGGAGAGGCATCCATGAGACCATCTCTGTTAATTACAGTGTGGTTCACACAATGAAAAGTTTGGGAACACTTTGGGCATCATTTTCTAAGGAACACAGGAACCCCAGTTAAATCTAACAGGAGAACTCTCCGCTGCTGTGGACATGCCTAAGGTCCTCACCCCTGAAGGGGAAGTCTCTAGACTTGGCACTTACATTGATGATGGCATCTGTCTGAATGTATGCCATGTCAGAGTCCTTCAGGCCAAGCTCCTTGCTGCCTCTCTGAGTGCTGCTGACGATTCCTGTCGTTACGGTGTTTTGTAAGGAGAAGGGACTACCCAGCGCCACCACAAACTCCCCAGGCCGGAGGTCAGAGGATCTTCCCAGCAGTAGTACAGAGAGGGCAGTCTGGGGAGGAGGCAGAACAATGAAACTGGTCACCTACTGCTAGATACTGATTCCTTAGACTAGTACAGAAGCCCACAGGCTCCAGGAGAGGGGGTTTGCTCTGCTGCCTACAGAGTAGATACTCAACTGTTATTAAACGCTCTGAAGTTCAGGATTCCTAGGTTTAATCACTGAATGCTGACATGAAGGAGAGGTCTTCATACGGCAGGGTTCATTCAGATCAGCACATACTTTGAATCCTTGAGGGCATGTTATCTAAGGGCTAATTGCTCCTGGCACATGAGTGTATAGGAGGCAGCAAATAGCGATTGGATACCAGGATGTCAAAAGAAAGATTTCAACCGAATAGGTTTCAGAGTAACAGCCGTGTTAGCCTGTATTCGCTAAAAGAAAAGGAGGACTTATGGCACCTTAGAGACTAACAAATTTATTTGAGCATAAGCTTTCGTGAGCTACAGCTCACTTCATCGGATGCAGGGAATCTGTCACTCTCACCTAGGGAGCATTAGGAAATTCTTTCAAAGACTTCCCGCTAGCAAAATATGTGAGGTGGGGCCTAATGGAGGAAGTGCTGTGATGAAATGGAGCAATGGGATTGGACCCATTGAGGGTCACAATTTTTTGGAAATTGTCCACAGAATGTCTTTTTACCCATCTAAACCTATGTTTGTACTTGCGAATTGAGTAGACCTGCCTCTGATCCGTGCTGTCCTATAGGTACGTGTGCTAGGAGTATTTCCATGTTATTAGTGAGAAGGCAAGTATTCGGTTGAAAAAAGAAAAGGAGGACTTGTGGCACCTTAGAGACTAACCAATTTATTTGAGCATGAGCTTTCGTGAGCTACAGCTCACTTCATCGGATGCTGTAGCTCACGAAAGCTTATGCTCAAATAAATTGGTTAGTCTCTAAGATGCTACAAGTACCCCTGTTCTTTCTAGTAAGACCTGTGTACTGCCTCCCATGGCCCTGCCAGAAATATTAGCCATTCTCTTCTTTTCACAGTTTGGAAAGAAACTCTGCCCTGCTGTCATTAATGGGATGGCCGTAAATCATTGCACTGCATGCATCACCTCTCTTCTTCACTTTACCAGTATTTCAGTGTGACATGCTGTGGCCATATTGACTCTCCTTTCAATTCAAAGGGGCATTCAGCTTAAAACAATCAAGGTCACAATGACTCAAACCAGCCAACAATTCGGGTTCAGGAATTTTTAAATACAGCTCCAAAGATAGTTCTCTTATGAAAAGAACATGAACAATTCCTTTGGGTAGATTTACTTCCCCCCTGTGGCTTTGCAAAGAAGATGGTTCCTATTTTTTTTTCTTTTAAGTAAAGAACAAACAAAACACCCCCAACTAATTCCCACAGAGAGACACAGAATCCCTTACAGACACACACCTCATACAGAGATACCAACTGGGCAGCAAAATGAAAGTTTACTCCAAGCAGGTGGAAGGTTTGGAGTGTTTTGTTGCTGTTGTTGTTTTTAAATACCTATTTGGAGCAGAACTAATTCTTTTATTAGTGTAACTAAAAGTTATTTGGAAAAAAAACAACAGTATCTTCTTGCAGCTACGAAATGAGAGCCACTTGTAAACAGAGAAATAAGGCATGTACTCGAACTGGGCAAGACCAACCTCTCTGCGTTGGGGCAGCTCCTAAACCCTGTGCCCAGAAAGGTTATAACTATGCTTTTTCCAATACCACTATCAGTCTTATGGAGAAAAGACCACTACATACCGAACACATAAATACACCTGTTTTGAGTTTACACCTGAGTTTATTTTCTGCTTCCCTACCTGATGGTCCTCTCCAGAGAGCTGTCATACTCACATCAGGATATATTTTGATCAGGGCTATGTCCAACTTGTGGTCGACATCTTTGACTTTAGCTTCGTACTGCTCCCCGCTCTTGAGCTCCACTCTGATTCTCTGCTTATTGGTGAGGACGTGCGCATTGGTGACAATCAGTCCTTCCTCTGACACTATGAATCCGGAGCCACTGGACACAAGAACTTCTTGGCTTGAGTAGGACACCCTGTGCAATCAACGAGTTATGTTGTTGCTGTAAGTGAGTTTGTACCAAGTTTCACACTGAAGAGGCGTGCTTTCTGATATAAGCCTCACAATAGTAGCAGAATGTTAATCTTCATCCTAATCCTCCCCCCCCCTTTTTTTTTTTTTAAAAAAAGAAGGAACAGTACTGGGAATATCTTAAAAGCTACAGCACAGGTTGCTAACATGAATGTCCCTTGTTCAACCAGGACCCTGGGGGAGCAAAAATTCTGTGTCACTAAAACTATATTAGATTACTAAAATGGAAAGTTTTAAAATAATGTGTATTTCTTTATAGTTTTTTCCATCACCCTCAGCTTGGTCAATGAAACTAATCGACAATACTTTTTAAAAGTCCATTTCTAATCAATTTTACTTTCTGGTTATCATGCTGTGACCCAGTGCTGCAAAAGTTGGACTGGAGATGCTGCAGGGGAATCTTTGGGTTTCGGTTTTTTTCTTAAAGTCATAGAAACATTTATAAAAAGAAAAGGAGTACTTGTGGCACCTTAGACACTAGCAAATTTATTTGAGCATAAGCTTTCGACGCATCCGATGAAGTGAGCTGTAGCTCACGAAAGCTCATGCTCAAATAAATTTGTTCGTCTCTAAGGTGCCACAAGTACTCCTTTTCTTTTTGCGAATACAGACTAACACGGCTGCTACTCTGAAACATTTATATTTGTTTTAGGTTTCACAAGTGCTTGTTTATATAAAACCTAACTTTTGGGCCAGATTTGACAGGAGCATCCCTATTAATCAAATAGTAAACAAAATGGCATAGCTTACAAGCATCAGGCTTTCTGATCTTGCATTTTAAGCCTCTCCGGTGACATTTCTATAGGATTGTTTTACTGTCCACAGCAACAGCCCAGGACAGTCTACTCCCCTCTCAGTTTAAATGGTGTTTACATACCTAACTATAATTAATCCTGATGGGAGTTCCCTGTGCCAATCTCAGGCACATCCAGAGGAAGACAATTTTATGGATTTCTTCCTCCACACAGTGGTCTATTCATTCAAATGTTCATGAATAAGAGCTTGCTTATACCATAGTTCAGAGATATTTGCAAAAAGGGCTCCCAACCACCTCTACCAGCAAATTCATTAGGAAACAGTTTAAAACCAACAGCCTTAATTTGGCATCCATACCTGCGAAAAAGCTCAAGATGGACAACAGCTGGAGCAATCTTCTCCACAACATCAGCAATAAAATTAAACTTGTACCTCAGGCTGTCAGGATAGAAGGAGCCTAGGGGCAAAGGTTTTAATTCCTGTTTATCATTTTCCACTACACATGGAGATCATTACAGTAAGGAGCAGCCACTGACTTGCTTCTCAAACTCTCACCATATAAATCACCATCTGCTCACTTTCGAACGGAACTAGAGATCAGACTGCAAGCTCTTTAAGAGAGACTTTGTCTTCATTTACCTAGCAAAATGGCTCTAGATCTCGACTGGGGCTTTGGGCACAATCACAATTTTAATATTCAACAACAACAAGTTCACAGGTTGTATCTCATGCACAAAGGCTTTTGGGAACCATCTGATCACCAAGACCACCCACTCTCCTCACCCTTCAATATTCTGCCCCGTATTAGTCCTTTATTCCCAGCCACTGACCAGTGTTTATCGGCTTGTTCCCCATGGACCTTTTTGTGCTAGAACAGACACCTTAGCTGCACAGTCACTGCTCTATCTGCTTAGTCTGTGACCAGTTCTCTGCACCTTCTTAAGGAAGATCTACTTCATGATTTTTATATAGGGTTGATCTTGTTAAATACGGAAATATTCTGAATAGCAGAAAATAAATCAGGTAGACAATTACTTGGACATAAGCAGAAGTTTGTAGCATAGACAGGCTAACATGCCAAGGGTGTGGTTTTTTTCCCAGGCACGTGGTTGTACTGGTCATTATGTTTGAGGTCTGGATGGAATTTTCCCTCTCAAGGGAATGCTGGCAAAGACCCTAGGGATTTTTCACCTTCCCCTGAGGCAGTGGGTGGAAGTATCCGGTGTTATTATTAGATGGATCATATATGGAGAATACAGCATTCAGTTACTCACTTCCACTATGTTTATTTTAATATTAAGTCATAGCTGGCAGTGAAGCATAGAGGGATCCTACCGACTGGATTCCATTCAATGCACTGTTGAAGTAGAATAACTGTTTAGTTGAACTGGCCCACCTTCAGGCTCTGGGAGATGCAATCTGGATTCCTCCCACACAGCATCTTAATCTTCAGGGAGAAGTGGAGCAAAACATGTATACGGAGAGAGACTAGACCCCAAAGAATTCAATTAAAACTTGGCTTTCCTTATTTGCCATGCAAGAACTCTGTGGAGATAGAGGTGGTTAGGGACTATTTAGAAAAGCTGGACGTGCACAAGTCCATGGGGCCGGACGAGTTGCATCCGAGAGTGCTGAAGGAATTGGCGGCTGTGATTGCAGAGCCATTGGCCATTATCTTTGAAAACTCGTGGTGAACCGGGGAAGTCCCGGATGACTGGAAAAAGGCTAATGTAGTGCCAATCTTTAAAAAAGGGAAGAAGGAGGATCCTGGGAACTACAGGCCAGTCAGCCTCACCTCAGTCCCTGGAAAAATCATGGAGCAGGTCCTCAAAGAATCAATCCTGAAGCACTTGCATGAGAGGAAAGTGATCAGGAACAGCCAGCATGGATTCACCAAGGGAAGGTCATGCCTGACTAATATAATCGCCTTTTATGATGAGATTACTGGTTCTGTGGATGAAGGGAAAGCAGTGGATGTATTGTTTCTTGACTTTAGCAAAGCTTTTGACACGGTCTCCCACAGTATTCTTGTCAGCAAGTTAAGGAAGTATGGGCTGGATGAATGCACTATAAGGTGGGTAGAAAGCTGGCTAGATTGTCGGGCTCAACGGGTAGTGATCAATGGCTCCATGTCTAGTTGGCAGCCGGTATCAAGTGGAGTGCCCCAAGGGTCGGTCCTGGGGCTGGTTTTGTTCAATATCTTCATAAATGATCTGGAGGATGGTGTGGATTGCACTCTCAGCAAATTTGCGGATGATACTAAACTGGGAGGAGTGGTAGATACGCTGGAGGGGAGGGATAGGATACAGAAGGACCTAGACAAATTGGAGGATTGGGCCAAAAGAGATCTGATGAGGTTCAATAAGGATAAGTGCAGGGTCCTGCACTTAGGACGGAAGAACCCAATGCACAGCTACAGACTAGGGACCGAATGGCTAGGCAGCAGTTCTGCGGAAAAGGACCGAGGGGTGACAGTGGATGAGAAGCTGGATATGAGTCAGCAGTGTGCCCTTGTTGCCAAGAAGGCCAATGGCATTTTGGGATGTATAAGTAGGGGCATAGCGAGCAGATCGAGGGACGTGATCGTTCCCCTCTATTCGACATTGGTGAGGCCTCATCTGGAGTACTGTGTCCAGTTTTGGGCCCCACACTACAAGAAGGATGTGGATAAACTGGAGAGAGTCCAGTGAAGGGCAACAAAAATGATTAGGGGTCTGGAACACATGACTTATGAGGAGAGGCTGAGGGAGCTGGGATTGTTTAGCCTGCAGAAGAGAAGAATGAGGGGGGATTTGATAGCTGCTTTCAACTACCTGAAAGGGGGTTCCAAAGAGGATGGCTCTAGACTGTTCTCAATGGTAGCAGATGACAGAACGAGGAGTAATGGTCTCAAGTTGCAGTGGGGGAGGTTTAGATTGGATATTAGGAAAAACTTTTTCACTAAGAGGGTGGTGAAACACTGGAATGCGTTACCTAGGGAGGTGGTAGAATCTCCTTCCTTAGAGGTTTTTAAGGTCAGGCTTGACAAAGCCCTGGCTGGGATGATTTAACTGGGAATTGGTCCTGCCTCGAGCAGGGGGTTGGACTAGATGACCTTCTGGGGTCCCTTCCAACCCTGATATTCTATGATTCTATGATTCTACGAACTCATTGCCAAAGACATAGAAAACGGTTTTCCATCCCACTAGTTTAATCAGCACCATTGTGTTAGGCTTTTAACTCTCCAAATCCTGCATTTACAGATTAAATAGGTAGTCTCTCATACAGTTAAACCTAAAAGTGTCTACCCTTGGAACTTTGTTCCATAATAGCTATTTCAGTATAAGTTCCCATTTGGACACACTTATTCCAGAATAGCTGTTTCATTAAGTATCCAAATGTAGACTAGTCCTGGAGGAAAAGAAAAGAAAAGAAAAGAAAAGAAAAACATAAAAACACCCTTTGGATAACCCTGCCACTGAGCTCAAAACCCCGTGCTGATAAAGTCAAGCCTGTGGTCCTGCACCTGGCTGAATCCTTCGCTCTGGACTTGGCCAGTTACAACCTTAGGGAGAAATAACATTTACACACCCTCTGTGAAACTGCAGACTAACACGGCTGTTCCTCTGAAACCTGTCATTATGCAAGGCACTGCATTTAGCCGTATGGAGTGGAAATCTATCAACTGCATGAAGAAACTTGTACAGATACAGACAGACATCATCTTCCTTTCCAAATGCAAACAGATGGACATCGTACCAAAAGGACTGAAGGTCAAAAATCCATTACAATCTACATACCACACAGACTATGCTGACAGCTTGTGCCTCACGCTCTCAAAGAAACTGCGGAATCACCTGATCAAGATCCTCTACAGCAAACAGGGAAAGATTAAGAATGAGCTCTCAAAAATGGATACTCTCATAAAGAACCAACCTTCCACACAAACTTCCTCGTGGCTGGATTTTACTAAAACTAGACAAGCCATTTACAACGCACACTTTGCTTCTCTACAAAAGAAAAAAGACACTAAACTTTCTAAACTACTACATGCTACAAGGGGCCACAGCAATGGTTCCCTCACCCCACCTAGCAATATTGTTAACCTATCCAACTATGCTCTCAGCCCAGCAGAAGCAGCTGTTCTATCTCGGGGCCTCTCCTTCTGCCCCTCCACCCCCACGAACATGATACAGTTCTGTGGTGACCTAGAATCCTATTTTCGACGTCTCCGTCTCAAGGAATATTTCCAAAATACCTCTGAACAACATACTAATCCACAGAGGTCTCCCTGCCAACACTACAGAAAGAGGGATTCTAGATGGACTCCTCCTGAAGGTCGAAACAGCAGACTGGACTTCTACATAGAGTGCTTCCGCCGACGTGCACGGGCTGAGATTGTGGAAAAGCAGCATCACTTGCCCCATAACCTCAGCCATGCGGAACGCAATGCCATCCACAGCCTCAGAAACAACTCTGACATCATAATCAAAAAGGCTGACAAAGGAGGTGCTGTTGTCATCATGAATAGGTCGGAATATGAACAAGAGGCTGCTCGGCAGCTCTCCAACACGAGTTTCTACAAGCCATTACCCTATGATCCCACTGAGAGTTACCAAAAGCAACTACAGCATTTGCTCAAGAAACTTCCTGAAAAAGCACAAGATCAAATCCGCACAGACACACCCCTGGAACCCCGACCTGGGATATTCTATCTACTACCCAAGATCCATAAACCTGGAAATCCTGGGCGCCCCATCATCTCAGGCATTGGCACCCTGACAGCAGGATTGTCTGGCTATGTAGACTCCCTCCTCAGGCCCTACGCTACCAGCACTCCCAGCTACCTTCGAGACACCACTGACTTCCTGAGGAAACTTCAATCCATCGGTGATCTTCCTGATAACACCATCCTGGCTACTATGGATGTAGAAGCCCTCTACACCAACATTCCACACAAAGATGGACTACAAGCCGTCAAGAACACTATCCCCGATAATGTCACGGCTAACCTGGTGGCTGAACTTTGTGACTTTGTCCTTACCCATAACTATTTCACATTTGGGGACAATGTATACCTTCAGATCAGCGGCACTGCTATGGGTACCCGCATGGCCCCACAGTATGCCAACATTTTTATGGCTGATTTAGAACAACGCTTCCTCAGCTCTCGTCCCCTAAAGCCCCTACTCTACTTGCGCTATATTGATGACATCTTCATCATCTGGACCCATGGAAAAGAAGCCCTTGAGGAATTCCACCACGATTTCAACAATTTCCATCCCACCACCAACCTCAGCCTGGTCCAGTCCACACAAGAGATCCACTTCCTGGACACTACAGTGCTAATAAACGATGGCCACATAAACACCACCCTATACCGGAAACCTACTGACCGCTATTCCTACCTGCATGCCTCCAGCTTTCACCCTGACCACACCACACGATCCATCGTCTACAGCCAAGCTCTGCGATACAACCGCATTTGCTCCAACCCCTCAGACAGAGACAAACACCTACAAGATCTCTGTCAAGCTTTCTTACAACTACAATACCCACCTGCAGAAGTAAAGAAACAGATTGATAGAGCCAGAAGAGTTCCCAGAAGTTACCTACTACAGGACAGGCCTAACAAAGAAAATAACAGAACGCCACTAGCGGTCACCTTCAGCCCCCAACTAAAACCCCTCCAACGCATTATTAAGGATCTACAACCTATCCTAAAGGATGACCCAACACTCTCACAAGTCTTGGGAGACAGGCCAGTCCTTGCCTACAGACAGCCCCGCAACCTGAAGCAAATACTCACCAACAACCACATACCACACAACAGAACCACTAACCCAGGAACTTATCCTTGCAACAAAGAACGTTGCCAATTGTGCCCACATATCTATTCAGGGGACACCATCACAGGGCCTAATAACATCAGCCACGCTATCAGAGGCTCGTTCACCTGCACATCCACCAATGTGATATATGCCATCATGTGCCAGCAATGCCCCTCTGCCATGTACATTGGTCAAACTGGACAGTCTCTACGTAAAAGAATAAATGGACACAAATCAGATGTCAAGAATTATAACATTCATAAACCAGTCGGAGAACACTTCAATCTCTCTGGTCACGCAATCACAGACATGAAGGTCGCTATCTTAAAACAAAAAAACTTCAAATCCAGACTCCAGCGAGAAACTGCTGAATTGGAATTCATTTGCAAATTGGATACTATTAATTTAGGCTTAAATAGAGACTGGGAGTGGCTAAGTCATTATGCAAGGTAGCCTGTTTCTTCTTGTTTTTTCCTACCCCCCCCCCCAGATGTTCTGGTTTAACTTGGATTTAAACTTGGAGAGTGGTCAGTTTAGATGAGCTATTACCAGCAGGAGAGTGAGTTTGTGTGTGTATGGGGGTGGGGGGGATGTGAGAAAACCTTGATCTATGCAGGAAATAGCCCTACTTGATTATGTAAAGAGTTGTCACTTTGGATGGGCTAGCACCAGCAGGAGAGTGAATTTGTGTGGGGGGTGGAGGGTGAGAAAACCTGGATTTGTGCTGGAAATGGCCCACCTGTTGATCATTTTAGATAAGCTATTACCAGCAGGACAGTGGGGTGGGAGGAGGTATTGTTTCATATTCTCCTGTGTGTATATAAAGTCTGCTGCAGTTTCCACGGTAAACATCTGATGAAGTGAGCTGTAGCTCACGAAAGCTCATGCTCAAATAAATTGGTTAGTCTCTAAGGTACCACAAGTACTCCTTTTCTTTTTGCGAATACAGACTAACACGGCTGTTCCTCTGAAACCTGCATTCATTCAGTCATTCCAAAAGTAGCTGCATGATCCCTGCCTCACCCAGGAACAAAGGGAAATGAAAAACAAACCTGATCTCACAGAGAAGTAAGAGACTAGACGAGAGTAAAACCGAGAAAGTGACAGGTATTGAACTCTGGGAAGAAAGGAGGGAGAAGGCACCTAGCAGACAGCGAGTGCAGGAGAGAAAGCAAGGAGAAGGGATGGGAAGAGTCAGGTGGCAATAGAGAGCAAGACCAAGGAGAGGAAGAGAGTGAGCAGGAGAAGGGGGCAGGCAGATGGACGCTGCGTTTGTTAGGACGGGCTGGCTGCTTGGATGGGGGGCAGGTTTGCTGGTAAGGTAACAGGCTCGGTAGCGGAGGAAGGAGCTGACTGGTTACGGCAGCTGGCCGGACTCGGCGTTTCCCTGACCCAACTCCCCGCAGCCGCCCCTGTGCTCGGGGGCAGGCATCTGGGGGGCGCAGGGAGAGCTAAGGGGGGAGCCCCGAGGCGGCGGGTCAGCGGCTCCCTTACCTGGCTCCCCGCAGCCGCCCTTCTGCACGGGGATGGCCGCGGGCGCCGGGGGGACTCGGCGCAGAGGCAGGCGCCGGCCCGGCAGCGCAGCCCGTGGGCGCAGAGCCCGCCGGCGCCACGGGAGCCAGCAGCAGCCGCAGCGCTCGGGCTGGAGCAGCCCCCCGGCGGCCAGGCAGGGCTGGGGGGCCCGCGGGCGGCAGCGCGCCGGCTCACACACCGCCGGGCAGGGCACCGCCGGGGGCGACCGCGGCTCCCCCAGGGGGGCGGCGAGCAGCAGCAGGAGCCAGCGGAGCCCGCAGGGGGGCGGCCCCATGGCTGCACCGGGGAGAGGCGCACCCGGGCTGGGGGCTGCCCCAAGGCTGTCCCGCGGCCCGGCTCCCTTTAAGGGCTGCCCGGTCGGCAGCGCCTCCCGTCGGGGAGGAGCCCCAGGCGCGGCCCCGGCCAAGCCCAGCGGGCGGGCTCCTGCCGCCGGCCCGGACTGGGCCCCTTCCCCAGCGCGGCTGGGCCCGGGCGAGCCTTGGCCATCAGCCCCGCGGCAGAGCCGCCCCCGGGGAAGGGCGCAGAGCGGCTGGCGGTCGGGGCGCTCCTGCCCCCCTCCCGGGCAGGGGTTCCCGGTTACAGGCGGCGCCACAGGGCTCTCAGCACCCGCCCCTGGCAGGGGTCCCCCGTCCCCGTCCCCGTCCGGGCTTGCGGGCTCCTGCCTCGGGGGAGCGGCTCCGGGAGCTAAGGCCCCGGCCAGGCTGCTCCGTTAGCCTTCGCTGGGCTCCCACCCACATCAGCGCGTCTCCGGGCCCATTAGTAACCGCACGGGCCCCAGCGGGGGGGAGTCGCGGGGGATGTCCTTAGGTCGGGGCAGTGTTACTGTAGACGCCCTGTTACTTACTTCGCCTGTTAGCGGCTTTCAGGAGCCATCCCCCAGGTCCCAGGCTGACAGTTCTATGGAGACACGCACTCCTGGTGAGGTCCACGCTGCTCACACGGGGAGCCAAGCCTGGGCACACACACACACAAGCGATGTAATAACCGCAGTGGATGCAGCCTAGACATGGCCTAAGCTAGTGCTGGTCCCTGCAAGGTCAGCGTAGGAGTCCTGTGCTCCAGGCTTGTCCTGCCCTGTGGGCAATGACCCAGCGCCCACCTCGCCCAGGGGTTGTTACCTCAGTGAGCAATGTCTGTAAAATGCTTTGAGACCCCTGGCTGAAAGTCTCTGACTGGACATGGTTATGTGCCAGTATAATAATGCCTGCATCTGTAATTTTCACTCCATGCATCTGAAGAAGTGGGTTTTTACCCACAAAAGCTTATGCCCAAATAAATCTGTTAGTCTTTAAGACGCCACCAGACTCCTTGTTATGACTGGAGTGGTACTGGGGACATGTGTGGGTTGTAACCCCCTAGTGAGGGGAGTGCCCGTACCAGGTGTGCATACTTTAGGCTAACAGCAGCCTCAGAGAAGCAGTTACGACTTAATTGTGCACTGCACTACCCCATTGTGTCAGGAAGCTCCCTGGAGGCTGTGTGAGATGTGATTTGATCATAGGATCCTGAAGTCTCATTCTTGCAGAGCTACTGCCTTGAGTCTCTGGGAGTTGGGTAAATCACTTGGCTCTCTTCTGCCTTGAATAAAAACCGGGAACTATGCTGTAAAACCAACAGAGCCTGAGATTTTGCAGCATAGTTCCCGGTTTTTATTCAAGGCAGGAGAGAGCCAAGTGATTTACCCAACTCCCAGTGACTCAAGTCAGTGGCTCTCATCTGAACCTTCTTCAATTTATCAACATCCTTCTTGAATTGTGAGCACCAGACTAGATACAGTATTCCACTAGCAGTCACACTAGTACTAAATACAGTGGTATTCCTACTCCAGATTCCTGTTTATACATCCAAGGGATGGCATTCGCCCTTTTGGCCCCAGCGTTGCCCTGGGAGCATATGTTCAGCTGATTTTTCAACATGGCCCCCAAGTCTTTTTCAGACTTGTCACTTCCCAAGACAGAGTCCCCTATCCTGTAAGTATGGCCTACATTCTTTTATTCTAGATATATACATTTACATTTGGCATTATTAAAATGCATATTGGTTGCTTGGGCCAAGCTTACCATGTGATCTAGTTTTCCCTGTATCAGTGACCTGTCCTACTCATTATTTACCACTCCTCCAATCTTTATCATCTGCAAACTTTATCAGTAGTGCTCTTGTTTACTTCCAGGTAAATTGCCAAAAAAGATAAATAGCTTAGAGTCAAGAACTGATCCCTGCAGGACTCCATTAGAAACACACCTGCTGACTGATGATTTGCTGTATACAGTTACATTGAGATCTATCAGGTAGTCAGTTTTTAATCCATTTAAAGTGTGCCATCTTGATTGTGTATCATATAGTTTCTTAAAGTATAGTGCAGTACTAAGCCAAATGCCTTGCAGAAGTCTGTTATATCAATACTGTTACCTTTATCATCCAGCCTTAAACTGTCTTTTTTGATGAGATTACAAGACCTATTTTCCACAGATCTACATTGATTGGCATTAATTATTACTTTCCTTTAATTCTTTATTAATAGAGTCCTGTGTCAGCACTTCCATTATTTTCCGTGGGATCAATATCAGGCCGACAGACTTATAATTACCTGGGTTGTCCCATTTACCCTTTTTAAATATTGGCACAACATTAGCTTTCTTTCAGTCCTCTGGAACTTCCCCAGTGTTCCAAGAATTATTGAAAAAAATCAATATTAATTGTTCAGAGAGGTCCTTGACTAGTTCTTTTAAAACTGTTGGATGCACATTATATGGACCTGCTGATTTTTAAAATGTCTAATTTTAGTAACAGCGGTTTGACATCCTCATTACTGTTGGATTAGAAAATATTTCATAATTATGATATACCTGCACCATCTAGCTTTTTCCCAAATCCAGAAAAATATTTATTGAATACTTCTGCCTCATTATTGACAGTTCTTCATGGATGGTGTTCCATGAAGGAGGAGTACTGGGCAGAGACGGGCTCCATCTTACGAATAGAGGGAAGAGCATCTTTGCGAGTAGGCTGGCTAACTTAATGAGGAGGCTTTAAACTAGGTTCACCGGGGGAAGGAGACCAAAGCCCTGAGGTAAGTGGGAAAGCAGGATACCGGGAGGAAGCACAGGCAGGAACGTCTGGGAGGGGAGGGCTCCTGCCTCATACTGAGAATGAGGGGAGATCAGCAGGTTCTCTCAAGTGCTTATATACAAATGCACAAAGCCTTGGAAACAAGCAGGGAGAACTGGAGGTCCTGGTGATGTCAAGGAATTATGACGTGATTGGAATAACAGAGACTTGGTGGGATAACTCACATGACTGGAGTACTGTCATGGATGGTTATAAACTGTTCAGGAAGGACAGGCAGGACAGAAAAGGTGGGGGAGTAGCACTGTATGTAAGGGAGCAGTATGACTGCTCAGAGCTCCGGTACGAAACTGCAGAAAAACCTGAGTGTCTCTGGATTAAGTTTAGAAGTGTGAGCAAGAGGAGTGATATAGTGGTGGGAGTCTGCTATAGACCACCGGACCAGGGGGATGAGGTGGATGAGGCTTTCTTCCGGCAACTCGCAGAAGCTACTAGATTGCACGCCCTGGTTCTCATAGGTGACTTTAATTTTCCTGATATCTGCTGGGAGAGCAATACAGCGGTGCATAGAAAATCCAGGACGTTTTTGGAAAGCGTAGGGGACAATTCCCTGGTGCAAGTGCTAGAGGAGCCAACTAGGGGGGGAGCTTTTCTTGACCTGCTGCTCACAAACAGGGAAGAATTAGTGGGGGAAGCAAAAGTGGATGGGAATCTGGGCGGCAGTGACCATGAGTTGGTTGAGTTCAGGATCCTGACACAAGGAAGAAAGGAGAGCAGCAGGATACGGACCCTGGACTTCAGGAAAGCAGACTTCGACTCCCTCAGGGAACGGATGGGTAGGATCCCCTGGGGGACTAACATGAAGGGGAAAGGAGTCCAGGAGAGCTGGCTGTATTTCAAGGAATCCCTGTTGAGGTTACAGGGACAAACCATCCCGATGAGTCGAAAGAATAGTAAATATGGCAGGCGACCAGCTTGGCTTAACAGTGAAATCCTAGCGGATCTTAAGCATAAAAAAGAAGCTTACAAGAAGTGGAAGGTTGGACATATGACCAGGGAAGAGTATAAAAATATTGCTCGGGCATGCAGGAGTGAAATCAGGAGGGCCAAATCGCACCTGGAGTTGCAGCTAGCAAGAGATGTCAAGAGTAACAAGAAGGGTTTCTTCAGGTATGTTGGCAACAAGAAGAAAGCCAAGGAAAGTGTGGGCCCCTTACTGAATGAGGGAGGCAACCTAGTGACAGAGGATGTGGAAAAAGCTAATGTACTCAATGCTTTTTTTGCCTCTGTTTTCACTAACAAGGACAGCTCCCAGACTGCTGCGCTGGGCATCACATCATGGGGAGTAGATGGCCAGCCCTCTATGGAGAAAGAGGTGGTTAGGGACTATTTAGAAAAGCTGGATGTGCACAAGTCCATGGGGCCAGATGAGTTGCATCCAAGAGTGCTAAAGGAATTGGTGGCTGTGATTGCAGAGCCATTGGCCATTATCTTTGAAAACTCGTGGCGAATGGGGGAAGTCCCGGATGACTGGAAAAAGGCTAATGTAGTGCCCATCTTTAAAAAAGGGAAGGAGGAGGATCCTGGGAACTACAGGCCAGTCAGCCTCACCTCAGTCCCCGGAAAAATCATAGAGCAGGTCCTCAAGGAATCAATCCTGAAGCACTTACATGAGAGGAAAGTGATCAGGAACAGTCAGCATGGATTCACGAAGGGAAGGTCATGCCTGACTAATCTAATCACCTTCTATGATGAGATTACTGGTTCTGTGGATGAAGGGAAAGCAGTGGATGTATTGTTTCTTGACTTTAGCAAAGCTTTTGACACGGTCTCCCACAGTATTCTTGTCAGCAAGTTAAAAGAAGTATGGGCTGGATGAATGCACTATAAGGTGGGTAGAAAGTTGGCTAGATTGTCAGGCTCAACGGGTAGTGATCAATGGCTCCATGTCTAGTTGGCAGCCGGTGTCAAGTGGAGTGCCCCAAGGGTCGGTCCTGGGGCCGGTTTTGTTCAATATCTTCAAAAATGATCTGGAGGATGGTGTGGATTGTACTCTCAGCAAATTTGCGGATGATACTAAACTGGGAGGAGTGGTAGATACGATGGAGGGTAGGGATAGGATACAGAGGGACCTAGACAAATTGGAGGATTGAGCCAAAAGAAATCTGATGAGGTTCAATAAGGATAAGTGCAGGGTCCTGCACTTAG